GCTTTAGACCCAGACTCTTCTAGTTTTATTTTACTAATTTATTTTACTATTTTTAATTGGTATTCATATATATTTATCATTTGAATTAGAATTAGAACTCATTTGTGAATGTACGAAAAGGAGAAATAACAAAGACGCTGAGTTAGCGCATGGAGATAGTACGTATTGATGTATGCAAGTTATGCTGATTGGAAAGGGTCCAGTGATCTGGTTAATGGTGTGCTACCAAATGAACAACTTATGAGGGTCACCGAAATCACCAGATGAAAATCTTATACGTAAGAATTCTAGGTTTTATCTTTATTGTTTCTATTTCAGGAAACATCATGTTCCACCAGTAATTTGAGAAAAATAAGGTTTGTTGTCGTGATTGTTATTATTAAATGAATTAGAATCAAGTAATTTAACCTCCTAGGCTTGTATGCAAATTACACAGAATTACACGGTGGTACATAGCTAGTATTAATAAGACCAGTTTGAAAATGTGAAGAATTGAAGAATTGTACTTTTGTTGGGGTTCGAATGTCAAGGACGGTTTGTTCGCAATGAAGGAGATTATTATGAATTACACTCTTTCTAGGACTTTTATTCTATTTATATAAATTTAGACCGTCACACACCAACTACATGCTAATATACATGTCTCATTATACAAACAAGCTTAAACTGTCACGCACTAAATTATTCTAGATTTCAATTATACCAGATACATACGCATGTCATTTTTTTAATCATAATAGTAATAGGACAAGCTGTAAAATTTGATTGTTGAAATGGTAACTATTTTTGGCAATCAAACGTTAGTGTTAGGGACCAAGTTGTAGTGTTATGATATTAGTTATGATTAATTATTTATCAGTCTAACGCTAATAAAACTTAATTTAATTCCGCTAAGCATCATTAGCCAGTAAGATTCTTGATTCGGAGTGATAAAGCTACTGCATTAATTATATTATAAATGACCTAATATTGATACTGTATATATTTATTTTAATTAGACGGCGAAGCAGCCCAATGTGTAACTGTTACGTAGCAAGCAGAAAACAAGCAGAGATATTCATCGTACAATGGCTGGGCACTATAATTGTCCTTAGTTGGATGGCAAGTATCAAAAATGGAATATATCGACAAGCATTTAGTGTTTCATGTTAACTTTAAATGTCATACATGGTTTTACAAATGTCACACAATATGTTCTGTTATGATTTTCCGAAAGCCATATTTCCAAAAGAACGTAATTCTGACAAAATCGGCCTGCATTAATTATAATACAGGCCGAAATTTGTCGGAATTACGTCTGGTAAACAATATTTGGGGATTTGAGCTACAGTAACTTAAAGATTGTATTTACATTCATACGTAGATTACTTTTTCATTTTGTATAATTTTATGATTGTTTTTAAATAAACTTTTATTGTTCTCCTTACTATGATTTAAATAAACCTTTCAAATGTTTTTTTTTAAAAATTTATTTTATAAATTTATTTAAAAGTTTAAAAATTTTTATAAAAATTAATGTTTCGTTTATCAAAAAACATTTAACTAAAAATGAGTTTTCAAGATGATAAAATACCTATTAATAAATTACTTAAAAACCTTCAAAATGATGAATCTTCACAACCTCAAGCTATATTATTAGCTTGTGGATCTTATTATCCTATTCATAAATTTCATATTGAAATTTTTGAAATTACCAAAAAATATTTGGAAGAAAAAAAAAAATACAAAGTAGTCTTAGGATATATATCACCTTCATCTGATAAATATATTTATCAAAAATATCCTAAAGATAAAATTTCACAAGATGATAAAATTAAAATGACTCAAGATAAGAAAATTAAAATGATTCAAGATAATAGAATTAAAATGATTAAATTAATTACAAATGAATCATCTTGGATTGATATTACTACTTGGGAATTATCTCAAAACAATGCTATAGATATTCTTAATTATAATCAAGTTGTTAAACATATATCTACATTTTTAAATGAAAAAACTGAACAAGTAAAACAAGCTTTAAAAGGAAGACAATTAAAAATAATTTATTTATGTGGATTAGATCAAGCTTTAAAGAAAGAAAGACAAGGATTAAAATATTTGGAAAATTATGAAATTGCAATTGTTGAAAGATTTTTTAATAGTGAAGACAAAGTTGAAGATTGGATTAAAAATGGTAAAGAAAAATTAAGTGAAAAATATAAAGATAAATGGCAAATTCTTGAAAATCAAATCTTTTTTATAGATTGTAATAATAATAATGAAATAAGCTCAACGAAAATTAGAGAATGGTTAAAAAAGGATGATGATAATTGGAAACAAATGTGTCATCCAAAAATAGTAGAATACATCGAAGAAAAAAATATTTTAGCTTCTTAACTTTCAATTTATATTTATTTTTAAGTATATGTTATCTTTTATTCTCTACTATATATAAATATTATAGTTTATTTTTTAACACGTTTGTTTAAACACGTATTTTAGTATATTTTTATTAATAAAACATATTATTTAAACAAATATGTACTACTTACGCAATTTATAATTGTGATTACATAAGTACATTTATAGTTTACCGCGAAAGGTAAAAAAAAGCTAAGTTAAACATTAAATATCGTTATATAGTAGTATCAGAACTTTAAGCAGATTTGTTAATTTTAATTTTACTAATTTTTTTTTCAACCGCGCAGAATCCAAACTTAATTCACGGTGTTTAAAACATTCTTTCGTGCAGAGCGCAATCGCTAAGTGTTAAATTTAATACATTTGTTTGTATTTTTTTGGCTCGAATCAATTTCATTAAAATTAATTGAATTAATAATAGTATCTTTATTAAGCGAAATCGATTATAGTATCTTTATTAAGCGAAATCAATTTTTCTATGATCGATTTGATTCACGTTAATTTTTGCAAAACAAAAAGCATAGCAAATCAGTATTAGTACAGGTGATTTTAAAAACTATACTATACTAATTAGTTATAATTTCTAACCCTAACGGTATGGTATAGATTTTAAAATGGCCTGTACTATATAAGGATTTGTTTACCTATACCATATTGATATGCGTAATTTAGTACAGATAAAATATTACAAAAGTTATTGTCGATTTCAAGAGCTTGCACAAGAAATGGGTTTGTATATCAACTATACGTAAGTTTCTTAAATCTTTATATGTGAAACCATTTGTCAAATAATATTATTAATTACTAAAACATTAATAACCTTTTAATTGTATATGTGGTAAAAAAAAGCTGTCTAAGATTTATAAATCGGAAGTCACGGAAATTTATTTATAATGGAGCAAAATCCACGGCCTTTTATATGCTTCCTATCACGAAATTTTTCTTCAAAGAGTTTGTAAAACTACTGTTCTATTATTTACACATTATAAGAGTGAAGGATGGTTCTGGGATAGAACGAGGGCGTAAAATGATCGCTCGAGAGAACTATATTGTTAGATAAAAGAACAATATATATCAATACACACTCCTAGAGAAAAGAATTTATTACAATTTTTATTAGTTTAACGAATATTGGCTGGTATAGTGATTCTTGAGATCGATCATTTTGAGATCGATCATAAGATACAGTTTAAAAACTGAATCTACGGTCGCACATTTATCAATTAACAGTTATTTCATTTAAGATTTTTATTGAAGATTAACTTGAAGAAATTTATTTTAGATCAAATAGCGATTTGCGTATATATTCAATCACAAATATGATAATGTCTAAGAGATATTCTATCTTGTGAATTGAAAATTTTAACGATATAACGGAGATAAGAAATCAGAGATAAAAAAAAATTATAGGTCATTATTAAATCAGAATTTTTAAAGCAGCACTATAATATGATCAGATAATAAACAAATTAGTCTAGCTGTTAATATTTTTTATTTTATAAATTGCGTTATTTACAAGTGGAATTAATTATGGCGCTTTTTACTTTAAAATCCAAGTTCTCTATTATCTCTATTATATGCCAATTAGTATATAACCGTACTTACGGCACGAGAATATGTGTAGAATCGATTCTATGATTGTTAAACGAATCTAGAATCGGGTGTCGATTTTAATCGATTCTTCCAATGACTTACACCCAAAAAATCAGTTACGTGCCGGAATTTAAAAAAAATGAAACATTGACACTCAAGTGGCCGATTGACCGATAACTTTGTGCATAATTACCGACCATTATCTGTTATAGTTTTTTTTCATTGATTATACGATTTTTATTAATTGAGATTTTTTTTTTAATTAATTTCATAGCAAAAATTTATGTAAATTTTTTTATGGCATTTATTTATGCAAAAGAACGTTTACGATATAATTATAACGCTTTGCAAAAAGATGTAGCCACATGATCTTTGTGATTATGATCGAGAAAATTTATGATATTTTAGATTGTCTATTACCTTATATTTTCGAGCGGTTACATTTATATTTCTTTGAAATCGGTAAAATTCTTAAAATCTATAAAATCTCCAATTCTCACGCCACATCTTTTTGCAAAGTACAATAATGTTTTATTACCGGTTGTATAATTTTTATCGCCTGGTCATATAATTTTATGTCTTAAAATTTCACCGATTGAGAACAATATACGTCCCACTTATTTGTTTTTATCACTTTTGCTTTTCTTTTATGAATTAAAATATTCTTTGAATGCAGTATTCTCAGATTAATAATTAGTAACTATAAAACTATAAAACTATAAAACTATAAAGCTATAAAATGTATATAGTAGTTACAAAGTCTCTATGAATATTATGGTTAGATGAAAAATAAAAAAGCAAATGCAATTTCCTTAGCAATACGCAATTTTGTCCATCATACGTAAAATTTGCTCTTAGATATTCTCATAAATATCCATCATCATCGCATAAGTAATAGTTATTTCACGTTTTATCATAGATATCATTAAACATCACGGATCAGTCTCGATATTATGCAGTATTGTGGC